GAGTTCTGTTACATTCTTTTTTAAGGTATTAATATCTTTGTAAATTTCTTCCTTCATATCCTGGATATTTTTTCTCATTTCATTGTGTTTTCTAACTGAGTTCTCTCTTATCTCATTGAATTTCCTTAACATAGTTAGTTACTTGGAATTATATTTCAGTCATTTCAAGGGTTTCCTGTTCCATGGGGTCTGGCATTTGAGAATTACTAAATTCCTTTGGGGGTGTCCTTTTTCTTTTTTTTCTTTTTTCTTTTCTTTTCTTTTTTTTTTTCATGTCCGGCAACGGATTGCAACCCTCAGTGTCGTGCCCGTACCGGACCGGGACCGGCAACAGGATCGCAACCCTCGGTGTCGCGCCCGCACCTCGCCCAGCCAGTGAGCGGGAACCGGCCTGTATGTGGGATCAGAACCCTCGGCGGGAGCGCCGCTGTGCTCCCAAGTGGCGCACTGTAGCAGTGCGCCACCAGGCCGGCCCTCTTTTTTTTCTTTTTATTTCTAGTATCTCTATGTAGATTTCTGGTTATGTGGAAGATCAGTTGCTTCTTCTATTTCCCTAGAGTGGACTTGGAGGGAGAAGACTTCTTCCTTTTTTTCCAGGCTCCTCAAGTGACTCTCCTTGTGTCAATGAAGTTAAATATGTGGTGGCTCATCTGCATGGTAGTTGTGGATGTCACTGTGGCAGCGAGCCATCCTTGCATTGCTAGAAGCTGTGGTGGTGGCTGCTGTGGACCACCTCCTCAGAAGCTGTGCAAGGCCTCACCCAGTAGCAGTAGGGCAGATTCCTGCCTTTTGTGTGGGTAGGACAGGGTTGCACAATGGTGGTCGTGGGTGCCTGGATTTTCTGCCTACCTGTGACCTTGCCAGCCTCTGCCAAGACTTTTTGGTAAATACAATTGACATCACTGTTTTTTTTTTGTCCTGTACAAGTTCTCCTGACAGAAAAATTAGTCAGCTTAAGATTTTTAATCTGTGCTAAACTGGCCTTTAAAAGTAGATTTGGGTTCTAGAGGTTTGTTGGCAGTTGGTAAACCCATCCTGCCTTCCCAGAGCTGAGCAGAGAAAGGATCACTGAGAGGACTCAGAAAGCCTAGGATGACAGCGAAATAACAACTGCCACTGACCCAGCTTGCCTCCCCATCACAACTATGACCACTGTCATCTCCACTTTATAGAACGAATGAAGCTTTAGCTGACAGGAGGTAAGTGCTTTGCCCAGAATCAAACAGGAAGTGTCAGAGCCAGCTGAATTGCTTTGCTCTTGGCCACAACGATTTCCTCAACAAAAGTAGCCAGCTTTCCTGGGACACCCACCTTTATTCTGGTGCAGAAACAGAGGGGATAAAATTACCTCTTCTTCCTTCTGCCTTTACCTTTGAGTGGCTCTTTTCTTTAAACCATGTACAGTAAATGCTCCATGAGCTATCACCTACTGTGTGCCAGGCATAAAGCTTTTATTATGATATAAAATCTATATCTTTTCATTTTCAAAACTAAGCTGCAAAGAGCCAAGGAAATGGAAGCTCAGATGGTTAAGCAATTTGCCCCAAATTGCACCAGTGATTAATTGTAGAGTCAGAAGTCAACACAGTTCTCGCCAACCCCAAAGCACTTTCAACACACACACTTGCCGTAGACCTTAGTGGGTAGACTCCCAGACTCACAGGCCAGACTCCAGTGGGTTCAAACTCCACTGCTTATAGTTAGTTTCCTGATTTGTCAGATCAGGATGATAATAGTTTCCACTGAATAGTTTGATATAAGGAATAAAGGAATAACAGAAACATAATAACCATCACAGGCAGTAGCTTTTTCTGTGTAATATAAGCTCTTTGAGCACAGGAGTTATTGTTGGTTTTCTTCACTGTCATAACCCTGGCACTCAAATAATAGCTAGCACATAGTAGGCAATATTGTTGCATGAAAGAAAAATGTTCTAACAGTTTTTAGATTATGTTATGGTGGGGTTCAAAGCCAGCATGAATACACACAACTCTCCTTTTTCTTTACTATTTTTATATAACATGGATTTGATAGATAAAACTTATGATAGTCTTTGAAGTCACAATTTGAAGTATAATATTGGGAACAAGTGGTTGTCTTAGTTCTTTCAATGTTCTCAACAAAAGTGGAAGTTAGAACAATGGTGAGGCTGAGGTTTGAGCACACAGCAGGTATAAAGAGTGCTTTCAGATACATGCTCTGATTTTTACTATTTCCAAAGGTGCATGCTTATGTCAGTTTTAAAATTCCTTTCAACCTTTATTTTTTAAAACATAAGTCCATCATTATCGCATAGATTTTTATCCTTGAAGGTTTATTCTTATTAAACTTGTGTCTTCGTTAATACTGTACATTCTAAATCCAAATCAGTATTTAGTGGCAATAGCTTCTGGGAGTCACTGTACTAAATGAATTATGGGTTCCATTTACCTGGTAAAATTGTCCTGATATCTACCTTTAGTAATGCAGGGGGTTCCAGAGGACAAGGCCTCCAGGGCAAAGGGCAACCTCATCCTGAGTCTGAGCATGAGCAAAGAGTAAGTGTAAACAGAAATGGAAGAATAAAGGTGCCTTTGGAGCAAACGTGCTCTTGCAGGTGGATTTATGTAGGGCTTTCTGGGAAGCTAACCCCTGTGTATTCCCAAGAGTAGTACTTAGACACTGTAGCACCTTGGCAGAAAACCATTTGTAAGTCTTTATCAGATTTATGACGAGTGTATGTGATATTCATTCTGAGTGGTGATTAACTGATACCATAACACATAGCAAAGCACTGGGGTTCTAATCTTTCTCCCTGGTTTGCACTGTGTAAATTATTATTTTCATTAAGATTAAGCATCCTTGCAGGATAACACAGCAGTAACTTTTGCAACTGAGATAGTATGCTCTATCTCAGACAATATGCCTACCAAAGAATCTTTTAAAGACCTCAGTAAATAAAGAGGTGAAAATGTAGCATTGTTTGTTTTAATGTGAAATCCATATAAAACAATTGAAAAGAATAAGTTTTGCTTTTGAAGATTCTTTTGCTTACAATCAAAATAATTTCCAGACTTGTCTTATTTGTGTTTTTCTTTAAGTCAATAATACTTAATCTACTACATTTTAGAAATGTTTGTAAGTAAAAGATTTGCTCCGTTTTAAAATATCTATAAATTTGATTACCTTATAAACTAAACTGTAAATGAAACTGTAAACTAATGAGTTAAAGAATGCTGTGAGGTTAACTTTCTATACACAGTTCGGAAACCCACTGGGAAATTTTACTTTTGAGGTTAAGACAATGAAATAAGAATTTGGTCCAAAATTGCAGCAATAAAGAAAAATAAGATTTACTTTGAGGTAGTTTATACATAAAGTGTGATGAGCTTGAAAATATGGTAAAATGACCTAATCTCTAATCTTCTATTAAAATGACAGCTAAAAATTTTCAAGTATTTGCTTCACATGAGAAATTATGTGCAAAGTATTTTATATGTCCTTCTTATTAATTCATTTCTTACTGTGAGTATTGTGATCTTTGTTTTCTGAAGAAAAAGGGAAGGAAGTAGGGCTTCGTAAAGGTCAAGCAAATTGCCAGAGGTTGCAAGGGTGAGACGTAACGGTGCCACAATTCAAACTCAGATCATTGCTCTGGCAGCACGAACTTTTAACCATTGCCTATGACCATAAGCCTAAATCACTAAGGGGACTGGCAATGAACACATGTTTGGGTTGAATATGAAAGTGGTTACATAACAAATAAAGAAATTGTACTCAGAATAAACAAAAACCATTTCCTTACTTGTCCTAAAAACAGTGTATGTAACTAATATCACTTCTACCTAATAAAACAATTCTAACATTTTAGAGGGCAGGATTTCAGGAAATGATAACCTCACTGTACCCTATAAGCTTTGTTTGTGCAACCAAATTAGTGTTTTACATCGTATTTGAATTCATTTTCTAGCCAACCAACAAAAATCTCTTTAAGTCCTGTTACCTATTACTCTTTTTTTTTTTTTTTTCTGGAGACATGACAAATCCGAGCCTCAAAGAAGTTGAAACCAACTACTGCTGTACATCTACTTGGTAGCAGACATAGAATTCAAACCTGAGTTTTATGATGTCAG